GTCTTCCCTTTGTGTCCTCTGCTTATGAAGGGACTGGGGACTCCCAAAGTCGAAGTGCCTAGGGAAGCCCTGGCCTAAGAGTACTGTGCGATTCTTTTTCGTGACGTGCGCTAAGCGGATTTTGCAACCGAAAACGCGAAAACCGCGAAAACGCGAAAACCGCGAAAACCGCGAAAACCGCGAAAACCACGAAAACGACAAAAATCAGGAAAACCGCGAAAACCGCGAAAACCAGGAAAACGGCAAAAACGCGAAAACTGCGAAAGCGGCAAAACACACGAAAACCGCGAAAACTGTGAACACGCGAAACCCACGAAAGCGGTGAAACCGTGCAAATGCCAACTTTCGCGCGACGTAACCCTTTGAAAAGGTGGCAAACGCATCCCATATTCTGTCTATCCATTTATCTATCTATGTATCTGTCTATCTATCTATCTATCTATCTCTATCCGACTATCGATCTATCTATCTATCTATCTATTGATCTATCTATCTGTCTATTTATCTATCTCTATCTCTATCTCTATCTCTATCTCTATCTATATCTACCTATCTCTATCTATCTCTCTATTTATCTATCTATCTATCTATCTATCTATCTATTTATTTATTTATGTCCATCTATGTATCTATATATCTATCAATCTATCGATCTATCTATCTGTCTATCTATCGATCCATCTATCAGCTTGTCTATCTATCTATTGACCGTATCTATCCTATCTATCCTATCTAGATATCATATCTATAAAATCGTTCATACCTGCCCTATTTAACTCATTGTATCTTATCTAGATTGTCCATCTGATCTATCTGATAAATATCATACGTCTTATCTCCTTGTCTAGCATATCATATCTATACTATTTACCTTATCTATCTTACCTACCTTGTCTTATCTTATCATAGATTATCTTGTCTTGTGCTATCTTAGCCTATGTTATTTCCTATCGTATCCTAGCTTGTCCTGTATTATCCTATCTGCTCCTATCTATCGCATTTTGGCCTATCTTACTGTGTCTTATCCTGTCTTGGCCTATCTATCCTATGTATCGATCGATCTGTGTCTATATATCTACCTATCTCTCTGTCTTATCCTGTCTTATCCTACCCTCATCCTGTCTTATCCCATCTAATCCTATTTTCCTATCGTATCCTACCTTCTCCTATCGTATTCTATCTTATCCTGTATTAGCCTTACTATCCTATCTTATCCTGTCTTATCCCGTCCTATCCTCTCTTATCCTAGCCGATCTCATGTTATCCTACCTTACCTTGTATGTTGCTATATGTTCCTACCTTATCCTATCTGTTCCTCTGTATCTATCGATTTATCTACCAACCTACCCACCTACCCACCCACCTACCTCCCATCTATCCCATCCTACCTATCACATCTATCTTATTATATCTTATCTATCTGATCTACCTTATGCATCGCATCAATTGTACCTACCTATCTACATTACCTACCTTGTTTTCTTATAATATATTATTCTGTATTATCCTGTCTTAACTTCTTATCCTGGTTTATCCTATCTTATCCCATCGTGGTCTATCTTATCCTATCTTACCCTATCTTATCATATCTTATCATATCTTATCACCTTATCTGATCCTATCTGTCTATCTATCTATCTGATGTATCGTATGTCTTATCTACCTTGTCTACCTCATCTATCATGTCTATCCAAATTACCTTATCTACCTTGTCTACCTTACCTACCTCTATAGTATCCTGTCTTAGCTTCCTTAGCGTATATTATTCTACAATATGTTATCTTATCATGTCTTGTTCTAACTTGTCCTACCTTACCCCATGTTGGCCAATCTTTCCGTGTCTTATCCTATATTATCCTGTTGTAGCGTATCTTGTCCTGTGTATAGATATATATACGTATATATATATATGTATATATATATATACCTCTCTATCTATTCATCCACGTCAATATATATATATAATCATATGTTAGCCGTTTTTCATCCTACCATATCCTGCCTTATGCTGTCTTATCCTGTCTTATGCTATCTTACCATATATTCTCCCGACTTATCCTAGCGAATCCTACCTTATCCTATGTATCTATCTATCTATCTATCGTATCCTATGTATCTATCTGCATATCCATTTCTCTATCTATCTATCTACCTAGACACCTACCTATCTATCCTATCTATCATGTTTATCAGATCTATCCTATCTTTCCTATTTGTCCTATCTGTCGCATCGTATCTATCTCACTATCGTGTTCCATCTTATCTACATGATCTATCTTATATGCCTTATCTACCTTGACTACCATACCTATCATATCTAGACTATCTATCTTATCTATCTTGCCTACCTTATCTTATCTTATCGCACATTGTCCTGTCTTATCTTCTATCGTATCCTGTCTTATCCTGTCTTATCCTGTCTTATCCTGTCTTATCCTGTCTTATCCTGTCTTATCCTGTCTTATCCTGTCTTATCCTGTCTTATCCTGTCTTATCCTGTCTTATCCTGTCTTATCCTGTCTTCTCCCATGCTATGTATCCATCGATTTATCTATCTATCTCTCTATCTAATCTAATCTAATCTGATCAAATATCATCTAATTTATCTATATATCTATCTATCTATCTATCTATCTACCTACCTATCTTATTTCTATGACCGCTGGGGCTCAAAACACAAGGCCAGTAAGCATACTAACAACACAAACTCGCAGCGAACACCTGCGAACATTGTGAAAGCGCGAAAAGCGCGAAACCGCGAAAACCGTGAAAACCGCGAAAACCGCGAAAACCGCGAAAACCACGAAAACGCGAACATCAGAAAACGCGAAAACCACGAAAACCACGAAAACCACGAAAACCACGAAAACCACGAAAACGCAAAAACCAGAAAACGCGAAAACCACGACAACCGCAAAACCGCGAAAACCGCGAAAACGCGAAAACCGCGAGAAAACCGAGAAAACCTAGAAAACCAGAAAACCAGACAGCTCCGTTGCTGGCTCTCAAGGCGTTCGCCTTTGTTCTTGAAGCTTGCGCCTTTTCACCTTTCTTTCATGTTGGCGTTTCACGGTTTTTGCGTTTTAGTGGTTTTCACCTGGTTGTCGCGTTTTCGTGGTTTTGGCGGGCTTCGTGCTTTTCCGGTTTTCGCAGTTTTCGCAGTTTTCGCGGTTTTCGGTTTTCTCGGGTTTCTCGGTTTTATCGGGTTTCCGATTTTCTCGGTTTTCTCGGTTTTCCTGTTTTCTCGGTTTTCCTGTTTTCTGGCGCGAATCCGGTTAGCTCCGTGTCGCTCAAAACGACTGCTTAGTAAGAGTAAACTAAGCCATTGCAAGATATCGCCGTCAGAGCCGCTAAAAAAAGTTCTCATGTGCGTGGCGCAAGGTGGCAGGATCTCACCATCGGCAAGAACGGTTTCACCAAACTAGTTTGTGCAAGGGCAACCCCGCTGCTCTGAAAGATCGTGCATTGCCAGTTCATGTCTCCCCATCTTTATATTTGCCTACAGCATTCTCAATTATCGTGCTTTTTGCTTGGTGCTCGCGTCAAAAATGCCAAGCAGCTTTGCTCCTCTGCAGAGTCCTGCAGCCTGTTGAGGTACAAGGGGGATGAGGTGGGACATTGCTGTGAAGTCAAAGGCGCGACCGGAGTTGGAGCTGAAGCCAAAGGCGCAGAAGGCGCCGCAGCCGAAGCAGCCGAAGCAGCCGAAGCAGCCGAAGCAGCCGAAGCAGCCGGCGCTGAGGGGGCAGAAGGCTGTGACTCGATTCTCGCTCGCTTGCAAGGTGCTTCTTCCTCAGAGGATTCCAGCTCCAGCACCGTGTAGAGACTCCGAAGAAAGCTCATGGCGTCTGGCTAAGCCATGTTGTTGGAATGCGGGGCTCCGTAGCTTCTGGGACCATTGAGCGCATGAGTCACTGATCTGGGTTGTTGGGAATACAAACAGGGTTTTGAGCCGTGACCCTCAATTCACTGAACAGAATGTTTGATTTGAACAAGTCGTGACCCTCAATGTGATTGCATCTGCACTATTCAGCCAATCTCAGCACCATGTTTTGGTGAATGCAAGAGCTCTACCACCATGTGATGGCCCACTCCGTGGGCAATAAAATGTTATATTCTCCTGTGACCCTTGAATGGAACACGATCTGTGCCTCATGCACCTCACACACTCCGGGTGGACCCTGTACATATGCCCCAGTATGGCGCTGGGACTGCGGGAGAATATTCCCTCCAACCTCAATCAGCTGACTGAGCAGCGCACGTGGCTTCTATAAGTCGCAGCAGGAGCAAACATGGCCTTGCAGTGCGATGCGAACCAACAGAGGTCCGGACAGTCCAGACCTTTCATACATGACCCCCCACGGCCCAGGCTGCTCCATCAAAGTTGCAATCCCGAAGCGGCTGAGTACTGTTCACCTGCAAAGCCAGGCCATCACATCCATGCAACCGGCTATCCGTGAAGCCTGCATATAGAACAGGCTCAGCACCTGGGTATTCTGTTGCACGCCAAGCAAAAGGTGCGAGGCCCTGTAGGCAGCGAGCATAATCCGCTTTTGCCCAGATGTCCTGCGCTTTTGCCCATGTGTCAACGCTTCATGCGGCGGACGGAGCCTTGGCACAGAACGTTGGCAGATTCGAGCAGTTGAACGACTTCAGCTTTCCGCACGCATAGCCCACTGCCTATCGAGCACAAGTGGCATGACAATATTTAGCAAACGACGTCTTGTCATTGGCATGACAATTGACAGGCAAGGAGTGATCTGAGCCAAACCGTCGACTTGGGTTCGAGCCTGTCCCACACTCCCCTCATCAGAGTCTCGATCAGCCACGCAGGCGGCCATGGCCTTGCCGCAGTCGCATAGCACGCATTTCCATAACCAAACAGTTTGGCCGTGAAAGGCGCAAGGCGCAGGGTCTACTTAAGCAAACGGCATCCCAAACCACCCAGAATGGGTGCTGGCCTGCCAACAAGCACAGTCAAGCCAAAGCAAACAGCTCAAGGCGCTGACCAAGCTCGGATGCCATTTGGGCAAAGCTGAGGCCGGCCAACATGCGCTCCACCTTGGAATCAATGAAAATGGTGAAACTCAACCAAAGAAATGGCTGCTCGGGCCTCACTCCTCAGCTGCGTCTTGCCCGTGTACCTTGCAAAGGAAAATCGTGCGGCTGTGTTCTCTGCACATGTTCTCCAGAAGTTGCTAAGCAAAATCTTGGAATGTACAATGCATCGCATCTCACTTGGCTGCGAAATCCTCCAGACTCTTCTTGTCCGACACGGATCCTGTCGCACCAAGGACTTGCTCAGCCTCACCTTATCTGAGCTTCTCCTCCCATGTGATCCACCACTCGAGACACGAAAGCAGCCTTAGTTGTGAAATGGGTGGCGATCTGCGCATTGAAGGTTTCCGCAACTCCATTAAGAATCCAAGTGAACAGCAACTGGCTGGTGTTACCATTCGCTTGGCCCCAAGCCATTTTATCCACATTCTTCAGGGACAGCACCGCCTGCCAAGGAAGCAAGCCGCGCATTGCGGGTAGTACATTGACAAGGGTGGAAAACATTGCGAACGTCTTCTGGCTGATTTCAAAGGAACACCCACACGAACTTTCCATCAAAAACAGGAATTCTCCGCTTGCGGTCCTGGTAGCCGTCCTCGGACAAGGGAACCTGCCAAAAACCGACAGCCAACACGCTGAAACCATCCCGGTTCCCACCTTCTGCGGGTCAATCACGCAAAGCTCGTTTGCATCGATTCCAGCTCCTGTCACAGATAGAGAGAACAGACCTGCCTGAACAGACATTTCGGAGTTCCGTGCCTCCAAATGCCTTGGCCAACTCGTCGACGACCGTTGTACCAGAGGACTTTTTGTCCGCAACTTCGGTCAGGCACCTGAAGCCGTTCAGTGGCAAACGCCATGCGCGTCAATCGACTCGGGCAAGCACCACACAGGAAACGGCACGCCGAAGAAGTTCATGCTGGCGATCTTCTGCGCCCCCAGGCCAAACCTCACACGGCACACGCGGCCCGATTTGACAAAAGCCTGTAGCTCAGAGGTCTGCGGCCCCAACATGCCGAAGCTCATCTCTGAGCCGCCCTTGTCATAACGGACCTGATACTCGAAGAAGCTGATCCCCACCTTGGCCATGCAAGGCACCAAGGGATGCGCAAAAAGAATACTCATGCACTGGATATGCTCTCGTTTTCAGTGCTTGGCCAGGCTGGATGATTTGTCGGCTACCTCCAGAATAGTTGTCAAGTCCTGCCAGCACAGATTGCGATATCTTTTTTGAGGGTGCCCCTTTTCGAAACCAAAAGGAAAACCGCTGTTTTGAGTTTGAGGGTCCCCTAAAGTAAGACACGCACTGGTGTTCAGCTGACAAGGGTCCTTTCCAATGCTCACCATTGTGGAGTGGTACTCACCAATGAAGACGGGCGTGCTCTTGAAGTTAGCCTGGCACTGGAAACCGAAGGCAAACCAACTACAGGTCGGACGACTCAGACAGGCACCTTCTTTTCATCGACCAGCCCGAAAGAAAGCAGCAAACAGTTGTAGATGGGTAGTATCACGATGCTTGAAAATATAGTACGCGGGAAAACTGATAGTTTGTGCCCAAGGATTCGACAGGCATCGCCCCCTTAGTCATGGTGTCCGATAATATTCAGGGACTGCCGCCATGCACCCCCGTGAGAGTATGTATACCTTTCAGGGTACAGCCACAGTGGAATACCCCCCTCCGGGTGTTTTTTGGGAACTTGTCCCGTTTTGTTTTGGGATCGTTTCCGGGAATTTCTGTCTTGGAACTGGCAGGTGCAATCTCCCTTGATTCTGCTGTGGCTTTGACTCGCTTTTGCACCAGCGCTGTCGGCATCGTGTTAACTCGGCAGCATCCTCAGCATCACGAGCTGGCTTTGTTAGGTTTCAGTGGGTTCATGGTTGGCCTGGGGTTGGTTCAGGGTGGGTTCCAGGCTTGTTTAGGGCAAGATTGGGAGTTGCTGCGCTTTAGGTACTGGGGTGGTTTAGTGCTGGTTTATGGTGGGCTTCTTGGGGTCGGTTTAGGGTGGGGAGTTGGTTTAGGCTGTGGTTGTGGTGGTTTAGGGTGGGTTCAGGGTAGCTTCGGGATGGTTTAGTGTTGGTTTGGCTTGTTTGCGGGGGTAGGGGGTGCTGGTGTCGGGTTTGTTGCTTCGGGTTTGTTAAGGGTTGCGTTAGGGTGGATGTGGGTTCAGTGCGGGGTTAGGATTGGTATAGGGTTTGCTTAGGGGCGGTGGTTTAAGGTGGGCTTATCAGAGATGGTGTTGTGCTTGTTTAGTGCGGGCTTCGGGTTGGTTTCGGGTGGGGTTAGGGTAGGTTTCAGGATTGGCTTGGGGTGGTAGGATTAGAGTTGGTTTAGGGCTAGTCTATTGCTGGTTTGGAGTGGGTTTGTTTAGGGGGTTCTTTAGGGCATGCTGGTCTAAGGTTTTTTAAGGGTTTTTCTAGGGTTGGCTTAGGTTTGATTTTAAGGCTGTGTCTAGTTTTCGTGGCAGTTTAGAGGATATTAGTGGTGGTTTACGGTTGGTTTAGGGTGGTTTTGGGGCCAAAACGTGGGTTTAGGGTGGGCCTTGGATTCATTTGGATTTCATTCAGCGTTTTTGGTTTGCTTTTTGAAGTCATCACAAAGCCAAACAACGGCCCTATAAAGATGCCGGGGGGGGGGGGGGGCAGACCCCCCATCTACAGAAACCTGGGAGCCACACACACACACACACCAAACACACGCGCACGCACATACACGCACGCTTACGACTAGCTCACTGGCTGGCATGCCCCAGAGACGCGGGAAAACATATTTCGGGCCCATGCCCCAAAATCACTCAAAAGCGGGTAGGTCGGAAACATGCACTGTTGACCCCTATATAATTGATAAGCCCTCGAGTTGTCAGCAAGGTTCCTCGAGGAAAAGAATCCCACTGAATACAACCCCATCTAACTGGCTTGCGTAGTCACCACTGCAGAAACCGACGACCTCACTATTTTGATGATTGATTCTAAAGAGAAACATCTTCCCTCAAAAGCAGAACAAACGCAACAAAGGTTGCATTGCTGTCTTGCTCTTCTAAAAACCAGCTGCGCTTTTCCATGCACGATATTGCACGATCCTCGCTCTCGCAAACAAAGGGCACAGGGTGTATCGCAAAATCAAGAATCCCTCCAAATGTTGGAATTACACAGGCTTCCTTTTGCCACCAGGCAAAAGAACGATCCTTCAATTCAGAAAACATGTAGCTCGCACAAGCTTGCATCCTGCGTGAAGAGGCGCGAGTGATGCTGAGGATGCGGAAAGCCGAAGCCACAAAGGCCACAACAGCCAAAAAGCCAGGCTGGATCTAAACAAGAAACAAAAGAAGCCAAACGCAAAAAAAGCCAAAAGCCAAAAGCCAAAAAGCCTAAAAGCCAAAAAGCCAAAAAGCCAAAAGCCAAGAAACTAAAAGGCCAAGAAGCCTGCAAGCCAAAAAGCCCAGACTCCAAGAAGCCAAACAAGAAGCAAAGAATCCAAGCAAGGTAAACCAGGAAATGTTACTAACGAAAACGGGAAAAAATCCAACCAAAAAACCCTCCCATTCTCCACGGGAAAACTCCACCATGAGACAAGTCGTGAATTCAGCGCGCTGGCCAATCTGCTAGCTGGAAAGTTACGCTTGAGGGCTCAACACCGATAATATCCTCATGGGCCTTGCTTGTCGCCAAAGAGTCCATCGAATGGTCAAAGACCGAGGACTGCGCCTCGTAGTCATTGAGGAACAGCGGCTGAATGTCAGTGGCAGGGTTGTTTGTGTTGAAGCTGTTAGTGAACCTGCAAGGCTACGACCAAATCAAGAACATCGGCACCCTGGCTGTCCTGGTCTGGTACACTTTTGCCAGATCGTTCTTCGCTTTGTACCCATAGGCCTTGCAACAAAAACCGGCGAGGCATGGCAAGTCTGCCCTTGCCAAACCAGTTCCGGTTCCGATCCTCGGGATTCTCCATGGCACGCTGCAGCTCCAGCATCTGCGCCAGTCATATGACAGCAAGAGTTTGTCAAAAACTGGAACATCTATCAATCAAGCTACCAAGCATGACAAGAGCTGGAGAGATGCGAAGAAAAAGCACACGGCCTGGCCCAGGGAGGGCTTGTTCTTCGAGCCCTTGCAGGCCTTCGGAACTTCGCATGTCAGCCACGGAACTCTACACACCATTCCTAACTCCATGTGCTGCCGGGTCACGGTGCACACACCAAAGGAGAAGGTGGCGGTGAAATTGACAAGGTTTGACTTGGCACCAGCTTCCTGATGCAGACTGGGCCTTCATGAATGGCCAAGAAGCGAATCGGCCATGTGTGTCCTTCTCGGCATCCAGCATGCCATCAATGGCACTCACGATTGCCCTGTGTGCCAAGTCTAATGACATTTTGTTGCAAACCTCATTGCTCTGCCTGCTGAACTCGGTTGGCTTGGATTCTCCGGGAATTTTGAGATCCGGCTCATTGATCACAATAACGGTCCTGGGCACATTGCTTGCCGCCTCTGTGCACAATGTCTTACAATGGGGTGACCGTCCAAAAGAATCCTGAGAGGAGCGCTTTAAGGCAGGATGGTAAGCACCATCCTTGTCGAGGAAGCCTTTTTGCAGATTGCTCTTGTACTGCTCCTTGATCTGAGAGTAGCAGTTGTAATCCTGCTACATGCCATCTTCCAGCAGTGATGTCGACACTCACTTGCAAAAAAACGGCAAAGACTGAACAATGCAGCGTGTCCGTCGACTGGCAATTTCCAGGCATCTGAGTATAGGGATAATCACTCATCCCGGGAATCACCTGCAATTTCCAGGCTTTCAGGCCCAATGAGTTTCCGTCTGACGTGCGGCCTGTAGGCCCTGCTTCTGGGCTTCATCCAGGAAAGCTGAGTGGTCCTGTGCTTGACAGCCCGAAAATCACTGAGCTGGTGGACACAAGGGTTGTGCAAATTTCGGTAAGTGGATAATACGCCTAAAGCACTTGAGGCACCAAAACACAAGGAGAAGGGAGCAGGAAAAAAACAGAGAAGAGAGGAAAGAACAAGGTGGGAAGGGAAGGACAGCGAAATGGAAAGCGGAGAGAAGCGCATAGAGGAGGAAGATAAATGGTAAAACGACGGGAGAACAGGGGAAGGAAGCAAAGCACGAACAAAGCTGGGCAGGACAGCAGCAATCAAAGAGCAGCAAGAAGCGATGAGCGAACATAGAGCAGAAAAACGAGCAAAAACAACTGATGAGACTGTGATTCAAACCTGCTGGGAGGTGGGAAACGAGAGATTGAAGTAAAGATACGTTCATGCAAGTCAGAAATATTAATCCTAGGGCGATGATTGATTCGTGTTTCCGAACGGGCTAGTGATGAAAGGAAAAAATGTTATTCTACTATTAGTAAAAGACATTTGGATTAGTAGAAGACAGAAAATGCAGATTTGAAATGTGATAGAGAAGAAAACCACAAAGAAGAATTGGAAGTAGGGCATGGAAAAAAACGAACCGCTTCAAAGTTGAAGTATAAACATAATGCCCCCACAAAGCCATTATATAAAAGATGGAATGGGAGATAGTATATGTGTAAATACTGTAACTCCCCATATCTCACTTGGCCATTCGGTGAAACAGCACCCGCAAACACTGTTCCGATCACGAACTAGCAAAAAGGTTAGCCCCGAAAACCAAGCATTTGGATTCCTGCTAATGCTCTTCCAGCTTGTAGCAATATGAAAAGAAAGACAACTGATGCACCACTAGAATGACGATAAAGTAAACACCATCCAGTATATATGTCATATCGAATTAAAAGCAAACAAAGAATACTAGAAATATGCTCAAGCAATATCTGGTGTACATATAAACCAAGAGATCAGCTGAAATAAAAGGAATTCATATGAGGGCACAAGACTATGATTGCAAATGAGATTCCATTAAAAATTCAACATGAGAATTATGATATTAAGAAGATATGCTACATGATGGACCTTCCGTCTCTTTCCCATGAACTACACCAAATAATTCTATGATGTAAGAAATGGAGATGAGTTGGAAGGAGATAGGGCATCATCCATCACAATAAAACCAAATGAGATAGAGATGGATGATGTAGAAAGGAAAAAGAGATGAAGACATGGCAGGCAATAAAAGATTGGGGATTAGCCCGCATCATCTTTCTTCCTTTCCTTTGTTCCTGCCCTCGCCTGTCAGGATTGACGGAACAGGAAGGAGAGGAAAAGGAATGGAAAGAGGCGCTACATCCCTTTGCTCTCTTCACCCATCTCTTCCTTGCTTCTACCTTCGTACCCCAACCCTTTATTCCCAGTCAAATAGTGGAGACAAGGTTGGCAGAAAAAGAAGCGAGCGAAGAGAAGGTAAGGAAGAGCCCGGAGGCAATTAGGAATCTCTTCCCTCAATCTCCTGTCCCTTCCTCCAACTCATTTGCATTGTAATGTTGGGGAAGGCATGAGAAAGAGAGAAAAAAAGACTCATTCCTTTTCCAATCCTCTACCTGCCACCAAGATGAATCACATAGAAATAGAATGGTGGCAGAGGAAAGAAAAGGAATGGCCAAGCCTTTATCACACACTTCCGTCCATCCTGTGTCTCAGAGAATAGAGGCTCGGGTCACTTTCTTCACCCTTTCCTCAGGGTCTATAACCAAGAATTGTGTGAGGAGGATGTGAGAAAGTTAGATTTCTTTCCTTCTTGCCTTATTTTTTCCTCACATGTCATGTTGGGCGTGTAGCGAGGAAAAAGGCAAGAACAAAGAAAGAGAATGAATCCTGCATTTCTCATCATCCAGAGAAATGCAGGTGGAAGAGCTTAGGTGAGTGGAACGGTAAAATCCAGAGAAATTATTTATTGCTTACATTGTTCTTTCTTTATCTCTTGTTTTCCTATTTACATGTGATTTGTTATTCCTTATTAATTTACTATGTGGAATTACTTCACCAACCAACATTCCTTGATTAGCGAGAAGAGCTTGGATTGGTTGGTTGGAAGCATTTCTGTGTCTCTATCTCCTTTCTCTTTACGTCTTCCTTAATATCAGGAAATATATTGGAGAAGCATGAAGCATTAAATAAAATTAGAGGGAGAGATATAATGGAAAGGGCCGGATGTATGAATAAGGCTCGTCTCTCCCTTCGCTCTCTTCTTTCGCTCGCAAGTAACATTAGAATCATGGAAATGTAGGAGGAAAAGATGATTATAGAAAACCGTCATAGTTCCATAAAGACAAATAATATATAATAATATAAAGGTATGAAGATTACAAGATAAGGATGAAAGGAATCATATAATATGCCTCTCTTTGTCTTTCTCTTTCTCTTCCACTCGCTTGGAAACCATTTGATTTAGAATGAGATTTAGAAATGGAATGCATTCCAAGATAGATGTCGTAATAATCCTATGTTCTGTTCTTTTTGCTTGTACACCCGCCAATAAGTCTTGGAATGTTAAATAGAAAAGAGAGGTCCTACCTAAGCAAGAAGATAGATATGGTGGGTTAATGAGATTCCTTTGTCACAAATCTTCATTTTCTTTCTCTTTGCTTTTATCTTCAATCCCTTTCTCCAAGGCATGATGTTTTGAAGAGGCTTTCCTTGGCAACTCCGTTTCTTACAATACCAATTAATCAGAATGGTTCTGAGATTAAAGAATTATTAATATTTTCTTGACGGTCGTCTCTCTCCTCTCTCCACGTTCTCTGTAGCTTGGGGTTAGCTTCCGGTTACTTTGGGGGCAATTTGAAAAACACATGGCCAGTTAACACAGCATCCCAAGAAATAGCAGTAGGCCTACAGTAGATACTGAATCTCAAGGCTTTGAATAGCAAACGAATGCCGAAAGCCCAAAAAAACAGAGTCTAGCAACGCACATGACGCTCAAGGCCAAAATACAAGGGGCGCAAGCAGCAAATGAAACAAACACCTGCTTAGATACAACAAAGACACACATGTGGCCAAGTCCGGTGGAGCGTTTTATGATAACTTAAGCCTTCTGTGCTGCACTTACTCTGTTTGCTGCGTTGCCAACTTCTTGCATAGCTCGCCAACCCTGATGCAGCCGTCAATGCCATGAATCCAGTCCCCATCACACATGGTCTAGCCTGCCACCGAGCCAGGAAACTTCAGATTGAAATCGATCATCAAAACTTCGGCCAATCATCCAATGGAATGCCTGATGCTCAAAGAAGCAGTCCTCCTGAGGGTCGTTCCCATACAGTCGCACCTGCCGCGCAACAAACTATCAATCAGTCCCACAAGCTGTGCGAACGCAAACTTCTTCAAAGCGCTTGAGAGCACTCTCCACGCTCACGGCTTGGACTCAAGAATCAACATTAGAGCGCTGAAAAACCTTGAAACATAACCTGGACTGGTCCCGGATTTGAGGGCCAACGTGGAACCTCAGAATCACGCTTCAAAGTCAAACTTGTTTTGAAACAAGTTGGTGCCCTTTGAGGGAGATGAACGCAAGATGTGGGCTTGCAGCAGCACCTTCAAAATGAGACGGCATAATCCAGAAAGTACATGCCTACATACAAATGTACATGTGTCTATTTCTATATACATATACGTACGTATTTGTATACATGCATAGATGCATAAACTATTTATCTATATGCGTATAGTATTTCTGCACCTGTATACGCGTATGTGCGGTGTTTCTGTTGATGTGTGTATGTCTACATGTGCATGTTCATACTATATATATATGTATATGTATATAATATATCTATGTATACATCCTATGTACTGCATGTATGCATGTATATTTAGATTTGGTTTCTGTGTGTCTGCAAGTATACACATATATATATATATATATACGGATAGATGTATATATGCGTAGGTGTATATGTATGTGTATATGTATCGGTGTGCATGTGTGTTTATGTGAAAAAGTATATATACAAAAATACCTGAACGTGCACATGTGTGTATATATGATATGTACGTACATACGTACGTACGTACCCACGTATGCATGATGTGCATGTGTATGTATATATATATATACATGTATGTACCTGTATACGTATGTGCATGTTTCTCATGTTTACGTGTGTACGCCGATTTGTTTATATATGCCGCAGCGTGTTTCCTGGAGCCCCGGGCCGCGTTGGCCCCCAGCTTCTTCATAATGGCCAGATCTCCACGTCCAGATGTGCTCCACTGAGCCTATCGGATTCCGATTTCCCGGAACTTCGAATTCCAGCCCTTGTGAATTCAAAACTGAGGCATTGGGACCTCATTGCCCACATTCCCATTCATGCCCAAATTCTCCTTCAACCCTTTGCGCATGCTCCTTGGCCGAGTCGGACATAAAGTCATCGTTGGGAAGCTTTCCGGCAGCCTCGTCTTGCGCTAGCTGCACTGGCTGACATCGAACAAAGATTGAAGCAGCATGCAACACGCTCCTTCAATGGGGAAGGTCCATAACTGATGCCTTTCAGCAAGTCCTCTGAAACTTGGAACTCATCACTCAGTGAGCCAACTGTCAATGCGTCCTTGCCCGACGCGGTCAACACCCTGCAGCAAGCGGTGCTAGTGAAAAAAGACGAGGCGCTGCAACTGAATAAGGTTCAACCATAAAACTCCAGAAACATTCCTTCAGTCTGCCTCGTCAGGAGAAAGAAGAGCAAAGGCCGAGCCATGGTGTTCAAAGGCCGGTTATTGTTGGCGCACAAACACGGACTTGCGTCTGTGCTGGACATTGCCAATGCTCTGAGTAGTCAAAGACTGGTCTGCCTGAAATCAGACTGCCTGTGTTTTGGGCTGACACGTGCGGCATCCC